TCTATCAGTAAGCACGGCAATGCAGTGATACAGACTGACTAAAGAAGTCATGCAGCTTCTGTCATCAGTTTAAACAAGTTAGACACACTTCTGACCAAAATGTTTAAGGTTTAACAGAATTTGCTTAAGAACTGAAAAATGAAGGTAACCTCTAGTTTATTTTCTATAAACATCAACAGGAAAACCTCCGTCCAAAAAGAGAGGAAAAAAGAAAGAAAAAGGCCCCATACTTCGAAAGACAACCTTTGTTCACAGAAAATTTACTTAAATTACCTTAAATTCAATATTCAATTCAAAGGTTAACATTTAGGCGTCAAAGCACAGCATGCTGAAAAGTGTACTTTGTTGACACAGCACCATGACTATTTACTGGCTGAGAACTGTCAGTGTTTTAAAGCAGCAGCAAGGCTGGTGCCCCACCATACACTGCAAATCACTGGTGTTTGTCAGATACAGCTGCCAAGAAACCTTCCTTGCTGTAGAAAAGAACAGACTAGTCTAGCATTATTTCAGCTGCACAACTGAAATCTTCAAAGCGCATTGATGCTGTCAGAGGTAAGCCCAGGGCATTAAGGAACTAGAGGGGATAGGGTTAGCCCAAAGGGTATCGGTGTACCCTTCCATGGAATACGGATGGTTAGAAATTTTACAGTATACATTTTTTATCAAAAAATGCCAGTGTCATTTAATGACTGTTCTAACAAATCTCCTTCTAGATCCCACTAGCTCACTTTATCTAGCTCTTTGGCAAGCCATCACTGTCAATCATCCTAAACTACCCTGACATGCAGCCTATCCTAGGGCTAGAGGCTGCAGGCTTTCAGTCTCCCTGGCTTCCAGGAATGAGCAGTACTCATCCCCAGGAAAACCAGTTTCCACAGCAGTCTGCACGCAATCGCTAAGTTTTGACACCTCCGTACCTGTTGAGCTGACGTGAAAACTCATATTTACCTCACGACCTGGACGAATTTTGACCACACTTGCTTATAAAATAACCCTACAAAATAATTCAACCAATACCTCTCACCTTGTCAACGTTTTTAATGTCTATTTACGCATGAAAACAACTGAAAGAAAGCTCCTGAAACTTCCTCAATGCTCCTCTGCCCAATACTGCTCCTGCTGCAGAACATCCCTTCCTTTCAATTTCTCATGTCCTGTACCCACTATCCCCAGGCCCTGCGATGTTTGCTACCTCACAAGCTGCTGCTTGTTAGAGAGGGAGAGAACTATGTTCATGCCTGCTTGATAATTCCTGGCAAAGGACAAGGCAGCAGATTTTTTCCTTCCCTTGCCCACAGCACATGAAAGTAAGGACTCTGACTTAGCAAGACAACTCATCATAAGGACAGAAACAGTTACACCTTAGTAGGGGAGACCTTCATCCCCTCTGACAGGAAACCGGCCAAAGGTTGCAAGAGTGACAAGGAAGAGACAGAGATTATCTAGGGAACAGCATATTCACATGGAGACAGAGCAATTACACACGCCTCATTTCCTTATGAAACTGGGATAAAACTCATAAAACATGCAGAACTCTTCAATAATAGGAGTGCTATTTTGAGCTAATTTTTTTGAGACATTTAAGTCAATCTGCACTTAATTCACATTTTTGCAAGGAAGAAAAGTTCTTTGCTTTTCCTTTGCTGCCTGCATGCAGAACTAATCAAGAAGAATATAGATTTTAAACATTACATGCTGTAAACTTTGAAAGGGAAAAAACAAACTAACACAATCCTCTTACAAATTTAGTTGTTGATCAGAGAAAAATTCAGTAATTCAGAAAGTAATAAAGGTACAGCAAGCTGTAAAAAATTCTAACGTGAAGCAGGAACTCACCAATCTCATTTGCTTAACCATCCGTCAGAGACCATGCACACGTGCACAGATGCACTGAGAGAATTTCAAAGCTCAAGATACTCAGATTAGGGTATTCTAAATAAATTCTTACATTAAAGGAAAAAAACCAAAGAAATTCTCTGAAGCTTCACTACTGTGGCATATAATTCCTCAGCAAGGCACTGTTTCTAGCAAGCCAATAGTGGACTAACAGAATAATTAATAATGGATTATCATTTTCTACATTTAGATTTCTGCAGTCTACTGATTAACTTCACCAAGACCCATTAAGTAGAAAATAGTATGCCAAATCCCATCATTTCAGAAAAATTGTTCTTTCTCCTTATCCTCTGTGTGGACAAGAACCACACCAGCAGGCTCAGCTCTCCAAGAGACCAGGAAGGTAAGAAATACTGTAGATGTTGCCATATATATTAGCCTTTTAACATACACCAGGACGAAAAGAGATGGGACATTCTGCCTTATTATTTAACAGAAAATTTGTTGTTCACCTAAGCAAAACTCTGAACTTCAAGTCATCTCAGTGTCTAGAATGGAATAAGAACTTCAGCCTCATCGCTACCTTAGACAAACCTTTTAGAGAAGCCTTGCTCACTGTAAAACATTTAATACCACGACAAATATTTCTTGAGATGCACTAGTGGATTTATATGCCTGTATTCAGAGAAAAACATAATTTTTTTTCCTAATGTTTCAATGGAAGTACATATTCACTAAGCAGAGAATTAGACAAATTATCTGAAGTAGACTAGAGTTTGAAATTGCAGTGCCTTAAATCCTGCAGATTTATCTGATTATTCCTGTCATGATGTAACATACTATAAAACATAAAGAAATTTATAATGAATCAAAGGAGTTGTTTTTGTAAGATGGTTTATAAAGCTGAATATTAACATAAAACTTTAAAAACGGCAATCTACAAATAGTCATATGATTTGTTATTTCTGCAGGGGAAAAGGGGCCTTTCATATAATATGTTAAGTCACAATATACAGATATACTTCCAAGTGAAATCATTTAACTTCTAAGTTTTGCCACAATTTTTAATCATGATGCAATCAGGTTTTGGTTTTACTTCATTTACATACTATATTCATCAGTGGACATTACCTGATCAAAGAATCATTTTTGGACTTCTCCAATCAATTTCATTGCTCCATTAAACATTTCACAAAGAAAAAAAAAGAAATCAGCAATTATCTTCTGTCAAACTACCCAAATTATTTTAAAAATCTGAAACTGAGGAAAATCACCACGCCAATGGTGAAGTTCTACTCACAAACTGAGAACTCACATTACACTGAGTGTAAGAAGTTATTCATGAACCTTATTTTTAGTAAAGTTTTAATAAAAATGTTTTCCATTTTCACATTCTGAAGAGCTAAAAATACAGAAACTTATTTACATTTTATAACAACAAAAATGTACAAATTACTATACAAAATGCAGTACCATCTCATTAAAAACAAGTTTTTGAAAGTTCTAGCAGTAAGGATATTATTAAGCCTGTATTTTCTGAAGAGACAGCAATTTAAAAACTAAGTATCAATAACTGAACAGTAATTTTCTTCAGGTTAATAAAAAATGCTTTAATGACAATTATGACTATTGGTACTTTTAATTTTGGCTGATACAAATATAACTCATAATAAAAGCTCCTGAATTTATAACAAGTCGAAGCCAATATATAGTCTTTCCCTTGAGGGTTTTGCCACAGAAATTTTCACAAGTATAGAAACTTCTTTTTAAGGAAATAAGCCTGGCAAGAAATTAGTAAGTTACAGTTTTACAAAACCGCTGCATCTGTACACACTCACTGGAGATGTTTACAGTTATTTCAAAATTACACATATGGCAATCAGTGTATGATATCTGATACAGATGTTTCAGAGTGGAAATGGTTCAGCACAAGCTGAACGCATGGAATGGCAGATTTCAATTCACATTTCTATTTGAAACATGCAAGCACATTCTGAGCCACAAAAGGGAATCTGACACACTTTTACTTTAAAAAACTATGGGCCATCATATTGCATAGACGAAGAATCTACAAAATCAGCTCAGTCAGACCCTTAACTGCTGCTTAAATCAACTGGGATCTAGTCACATCTATGCATTTGAGTGCTTGAGTTGTAAAAAGATGCTGATTCACAATCTTTGTGTATGGATGAATCTGATTCTATCAGCATTTCAGACTGGACGATCACTGCAACACCTGGAGTAGAACTCAACTTATATATTGGGTGCAATTCTGATAAAACAAAAGAATCCACTGGATTTTATTTAACATATTAAGACTAATGCAAGTCCTATGTTATATCATGACCTTTAAAAAGCTGATAGCTATTTATTGATTTGAAAGTCAACCCAGAGAACAGACATCAGTTCACAAAGTATTCCAACATCAATATATCCACAGTGGTTGTAATGGAGAAGTGACAGAAAAATGCTTTGATTTGAACACTGACAGCTTTTACTAAATGCTCCAGGATCATACAGTTATTCTTAAATGGGGATTGTGTAAAAGCCTATTTCTAATTGAAGAGAAAAATCCCCAAACAAACAATTTAAAGTAATATAAAGAAACACTACTGAAGTGTCCAAACTGTTGTCACACTAATTTGAACCCATGGCTCTGAAAAGGTAAAATATCCTGGTCTCAAATATGCATGGTCCACTAATCTCATGTTAAATGTTGTTACTTTCACCCATGAATATACCATATGATTAGTAGGAAATCTTTAGCAGACACAAAAAAAATGAAAGATGGAACTTGCAGCAAGAGAGCATGGCAAACCTGAGAGATCTATTAGTGCATAAATTTGCTTAAAACTAAAAAGATAGAAAGAGAGAGCTAACAAACTACAATAAAAGTTATGTCTTTAAAGCAGTAAGTTATAACAGGGTGGGAAATGTTTAATATGAACATATACCTGCAAAGGGGTCACTATCTTTCTGAAAATAAAGAGCTGATATTTTTCACAGCATCAGATTTATGGTAAAAAGCCATAAAGAGTAGTTTTTAATATTATGCTTTTCCCACCCTGGCAGAGAATAAACATGAATTTAGAAGCACAGTAGAAGTGAAAAACAAAGAAGAAGAGAGATAGAAAGCAGCAGAGAAAGACAGAAAAGGTGAATACAGAGCTACAGAAGTGTTTATTGAGCATGCTACAGAGGTAAGCAGAGTACACACAAAATGAAATTAAACAACCATCAAACCTCCCAACTTTGTTAGAAAATTAATTTTTAATTGTGCCACTTTCAAACTATACTGAATTTTACAATTCTAAAGATGTAAAAACTCAACTAATAGAAAATATACATGACCTTTTTTTCTCTACATAGGTAACAGAATCTATGAATCTTGAAACTAAGTACATCAATTTCAAAAAGTATTGGTCATTTAAACAGAATCAAGGTAACAGTTCAGACTGACAGAGAACTGCTTTCAAATTAACTGGATCTGCAGATTCTGAGCCATGTTTATAGTAAAGTCAGATCAATTTCTAAATACAAAATATTTTGAAGAGATTTATTAAAACTGAATATTACAATGCAAGGTAAATTAAGACTAAAGGCACATAAACTTTGGTCCCACCTGGTTGTCAGTTTTAGGAAACTGCCACAAAATTTCCTGCAAGCATTTGCAGCAAACTTTCTTCATCATTGAAAAATACATGCACCATTTCCTGAACTAGCTTGACCAGTCTGTACATGCTCAGAAATCCACAACCATATTCCATATCTTAATTACAAACTAAAGATGGCAATATATATTGAAATGCACATAAGTCATGTCAACTTCAAAAACATCTACGAAAAATATTCAGCCACAAACAAGACATTACTTAGTGCTGACATTTATATGATACATCCCACAAGAGTGTGTACAAAAAGGTTAAGATTCCACAATGCTTTCCACATAGGGCTCAAAGTCACAGAAGTCACTTTTTGTCCTTTGAGAAATTAATATTCTGTACCTTGTTAATTTTAACTAATGCCTACATTCATAACTGAATCTAGACCAGAACAATGTAATACAAAAGGCCTTTTTAAAAAAAAAACACAAAGCAAGAAGTAGCAAAAAATCAAATAATGTAATTTTACTCTCTCAGCATAATGCATCTAATCCAATTAAAAAGAAAAATAAGTGACAAGCCAGTAGATAAAGAAATCAAGCAGGAGAAACAAAAACTTAACCTTTTTACACACCCCTGCCTAAACATATTTAAATTATCATGTAACAATGTGCCCCAGACAACCAAATTTGCTTTTTACTAGTTATGCAATTCCAGCAGTACTAGTTTTCCTTTTTAAGGCACGTATGTCAACTAAGTTGAAAAATGTGGTATTATCTTGAAATCTTTTAAACAAAACAATGGTTTATCTAAACAACAGTTGACTACAGCAGTTAATATCACTGCTTTTATTTTTTTTAATTTTTTATTTTTTAAAACAATCAAGGAATGATAACAGCATGAAAAAAAATAAAAAAACAGAAGACAAACTCTGGTCCCCACTTTCCTGAACAGTCAATAGGTGACAACACCAAACAATGCAATACACCTTCATTCTCAATCTGCCTTTTTTAAATAGTTGACTTGGAGAAAGAAACTCTCAGATGGTGACTTTCTCCCAAATTGTAATTGTGAAGATCAATCAAAGCCTGAATAGCTTCTTCTACTGTTGACATCTGAAGAAGTGCCATCTTGTGATCTCTTCTGAAACAAAATAATGGAATTAGGAACTCGAACACTACAGGGGTTACTACTAATGTTTGCTATCTGATACGCGCTTTTTCTTAAGATGTGCTGCAAAAACTCTTCTGTTAGAGCTGTGTGCAGAAAAGCTACTTACTGAAAAAATTTAAATGCTTTCACAGTGCCTCCAGTGTTAGCAAACAATGTGCGTAGATCCTCTTCTGCTACTGATGGTCTACAGACAAAGAAAATAAGCATAAGCAGGAAGTCGTTAGTCAATTCAGTGTGTTGGCAATTCACATCAATATTACTGGCTTACTAACAGTGAACACTTACGGAATATTGGACAGATGAAGTGTTGCAGAAGGAGGAAATATATTTTGAAAGTTCTTTGAACCAGGTTTCTTGAAGCGATGCAAAGGTGAATTACCAAAATCTTTAGTCAGCCCTTGGTCATCAAGTCCCTCTCGAGGTAGTTGTACTGTTTGATGTTTAGAAAGGGTAACCCGAATAATCTTTCCGTACATTTTTTGTCCATTAAGATGGCTCATGGCTGAAAAAGACAAGTTTACTCAATTGAATGTTACTTTTCAATAGCTTGTGGTACATCACACAAGCAAGAAGAACACCCAATCAAATTAAAGGGTCTATGTGCTAAAAGACTGGAATCAAGAATTAGGTCTGCAGAGGCTTCAAGAATATTCAATTTTATTTAAAGACAATCACATGTGATTCAGCTGAGGAATTCATTTAGAATATTATGCAGACCTTCTGGAACACAAGTGTATGCAATAAGATTTTGGATCTGGTAGGTAACCAGGATAAAAGACAAACTGACAAATATAAACACACTTAGTTCACCTGATCTTGAACAGCCTAATTTCCAAATACTTAGACTAAAGAGAAAATAAACAGGAAACTAATCTTACCCAGCTGTGACTGGTTTCCATCAGCCATCTGTATAAGAGCACTATCTTTCTTATTGTATAAAATCTTCACACGCTGCACATCACCATAAACACCTTTTCAAAGTCAAAAGTAACCCAAAAGAAAAAGTTCATTTTAAAGCCAGTCACCTAAGTAATATATTTTGACATATCAATGGAACATTCAGACAGCAACAAGATCACTCACTCAAACTCAACACACTCACAAATGAATAAAGGAGATAAAGATTTTGAATAGTGAATTTTGAAAAGAATTATTTCTGAAAAACCCTCAAAGCTATGTGAATGATATTAAATTAAAGATCATGCAAAATATATTAGCATGCATTAAAAGAAAAACTGTGTCTATGGAGAGTTTTAAACAGCAAAAGAAAAATAGCAAAAGATTTACTATTCAACTTTAAGCCAAAGTGCTAGCTACAAATAAGAATTAAGGTGAAACAAAAAAACCAACCAAACAAAAACCATAAAAACCAAAATCAAATCAATAATAAAAGTATAGTGCTAACAATAACATACCGAAGAGGGTAAACAGACTTTGGGGCGTAACCATCTTTAGAAGGAGAGAAGAGCAAGCAGCGTAAGACAAGAAGAGAGAAGAGTCGAGGAAGAGCGGAGATGAACAGATCATCCATAACGAAGGGTGGTTCCCGCAGAATGGTGAGGTGGTCATGGATCATGGTTTCAAGGCGGTTAATTGGGGCAAGTTGGTCCGAGGAACATTTTGTTCAAGCACAGAAGCATGAACATAGGGAATGAAGACAGGGAACGTAGACAAAGACGAGGAGAAGGGTAAGACAGGGAAGGGCATGGGGATTTGGGTAAAGACAAGGAACGGGAAGTTGAACACAAAGGGAAAAGGATGAAATGGGGGAGGGAATACAGCAATGCAGAAGAAAAAAAAATAAGGAAGTGGGGAACAAAAAAAAAATAAAATATAGGTCAGTACATAGGAAATGCAGGAATTTGGTCAGAAAATGGTTGGTTTATGTACTGTACAAGAAAAACTGAGTAAAATGTAGTCACCCAAGACAAATATGGGTAAAGTACATTCATATTAAGAGTAAACTACAGCATTTCATCTCAACATGAAAATAAATTAAAAAAAGCATGCAATAGAAATTTTAAAATTTAAACTTTAACTGCGTAAGCATGGCTGGTTATGAAATGCAGGCAAAAAATCTTTTAAAATGGCACTCTGATCTAAAACATTTTAACATGCAAGACTGTGGATGACAAAATAGTACCAGATGATAAATAAAGCTTCATGATTTACAGTGACAGAGGCCAGTTAAAAATGGAACAGCTAGACTGATACAAACTTCCCACATTTCATACCAGCTTTCACAGCCATCAAAATAAATGTACAGGACAGTAAAAATGCAAAACTAAATTAATCCCTTTAGATTTCAGAGTTAGGAAGAAAGATGCAGTTAGGGTGAAAATGCTTTGCCACCACTTTTTTTTTTTTTTTTTTAAAGACAAATGAGTAACTGCAAAGAAAAAAAATTACTAAGAGAGACTGGAAGAGTGCCTCGTCAAGATCTTTGGAAGAACCTTCAAAGAAAAATGTGTTAGAGTAGTTTACATAAATTAAGACCTCAAAATGTGAGATAAAAGCATGAAATGAAACAGCAAACGATTAGAAACAAAACAGAAATTCTAGTTTACATGCCTATAATTGCAAAAGAAAGTATAGTTGCTATTTTGTAAAAATAAAGTTTTCAATTCAAATGTCAAACATGCAGTTGAGTTACCACATTTTTCTTAGGAAAAAATAGGTAGCCGACTATGAAAGGATATTTTAAGTTGCTAGCTACCTGGGAAGACAAATGTATTTAACAATAATGGCTTTTAAATTAACTTTGGAGATTATTTAAAAAAACAGAACAAAAAAATACTTTGAGCTTAAAATCCAAATGTAAGAGGCGAAATGAAAAGAAATTATAAAATACTGACAAATGAAGTATGACCAAAGAGTGGAAAAGAAAAGTAAAATTGTTTTACTGACCTCTTCATTTAAATTGCTAACCAGGAGGACTGTATTGCCACCAGCTGCAACTCCAGGCATTCCTACACGACCAGCAGCAGCAGCTGCAGCTGCAGCAGCAGCATTTGGAATAGCCAAAGGACTCAGAGCCCCTGGAACAGCTGCAACAGGAAGCCCTAATTTTAAAATAAAGCGTATTTTACGAAACACACACAAGTCGTTTAAAAAGAAGTTCCTATATCAACACAAGTGTTGCATACAACACTCTACACAGCAGACAATTCCACTATTAAAGTAATCCAAACGGTTGTAGAATGAGTTGTTAAATGAACTTAAGAGAAATGTAGCCTTTTTTTTTATTCTGATTAAGTCCGCAAAGTTATGAGGTGTAAAAGTATTTTCTTTTCAAATCAACGTTATTACCCACCAAAACTGTTTCCATTGCACTCCAAAATGCTTCAAGTGTCTAGTTTATCAAAATGGTCTAAAGTACATTTTGATTATATCAGTGAGAATACACACTAATTGTGCTCTCTGCATCATGACATCCTTCTTTTCCATTTGATGCTAAATACGCAGCAGTGGAGGCAGCCACGTAAAGGTGTATGTATCTCTCACAGCCTCAGCATAAAGGTGAAGGGGAAACCACCTAAATTCAAGATTCAACATGCTCCATGGCTTTTGTAATCCAATTCTCTGAAGAACCATTAGCTAAACCTTCAGTTGTGCTTTTATTTTTTATTCTTCCAAGGAAACTCAGACCCTGAGAGACATGTTGGTTTTGTCTGGTCAAGTCCCTGGATTCATGAAAGGTTCTTGATAAATATGCACTATGCATAGTTATATAGGAACAGCTTTATCATATTTGATCAACACTGTATTTGCATATTATATACAGTCCAGTAGAAGGGCACTGACTTAGCAAAATGTGTTCCAGGACAGTAAGGCACGACACATGTCCACCTGAGGGAAAACAACTTATTTTATACTAGGTCTATAGCAGTCACTTAAGTTTTAGAAAATGTCATGCTACTATGACTTATTAGAGCGTATCAAATCTTCTAATACGTCTAGGCACCTCTCCCTAACCTTAAGAGCTTTAAGCCAGTCCAGTATTTTCAGAAATAAAGGAATCAAAAGACGACTAATAAAATTTTTATGGTTCTTTCCCTAGCTGGGCACAGCATAACTGAGTAATTGATACTTAAAAAGGCAAAATTCTTCATGGAATTCAAATTTTAAATTTTCAGTTAAAACCAAAAATAATTTAACACTATTCCTACACCAATAATTTGAATTATTATCCTTCAATATTATTAGCAAGACTCTTAAAAAGGGGCATTAGCAGAAAGTGTTGAGAAGGAAAGTCAGCGATGACAGCAAGGGATAAAGCTGAACCCTAAGCACAATAACGTATTTCCAGTTGCAACACTAAACATATCTAAACTGGGGGTAAAGTATTATTTCTTATCAGTATTTGTGATAAGTAGTTCTTAAGTAAAGTATTTTCTTTGCTGTGGTTCACTAAAATACAGCTGTTGTTTATCTAAAATTTTTTTCTGTAACATCTGTAACTTTTTTGGGGAAAATGAGGAGAGCGAGTATAGATATATTTTCATATGTGAGGTACAAAACCAGAAAACGAAAATAACTTGAAACCAACTCATTTTGTCCACTAGTAATTTTCTTCTTCTTTCAAAAGATAATAAGACTCATTGAAAAGATGTCCAATTTGCAGTCTCAGAGTTTTCTGACACCTGATTTCATCACAGCCGAGGATGTAGTAGATGAATGAGTAATGATGTGTGTGGGTTAGGATCATCTATTTGATTGATGTGTTTCTAACTGATTACATAGCACACATAGATCTCATTTCTCGGAAAGGTCAGACAAATTACAAAGCCACAGCAAACAGAATTCTTGTTCTGTAGACTCTACTGCACTCTGATTTGCCATTCTGATTTAAGCAAGTCACAATTTTTAAAAACAAGAACAGCTTCTATTATGACTACTAGTCACAATGTAAAACACTGTTTAAGGTTTGAGGACTTACCTGAAACTATTCAGAAATGTTAGCTACTTTGCCAACATGATCAACCTGTATTAGAAATCTTTGTCACTAGCTTTTAGTTTAGTTTCCAACAACTACGGATTACCGGTTTTTGTTTTTTTTCAAGATATTAATGAAAACATACAAATATTATACACCTTCTTCCTAGCCTTTTGAGGTCTTTCTCCTCAATGAAGTTTAAATACAACGTGTCACATTATTTATCCCTTCCTTCCCCACCCCCCCCAATTTACCCTTTTGCATGACTTCTGAAAGGCAAATTAGTAATGGCATTTTAATAGCAGGCAAAGTAAAGCTAAAGATATAGTATGAACTTATGTGAAACCCACAGGCAGTGGTAATCATATTAATGCAGGTAAGCACAACTGTGACTGAGAACTGGATTTAGTCCCTGGTCCTGTTATGAATCCTTTTTGTGGCTCTATGTCAATTAACTACCATTTTTTGTAATAGATACTGACCTGATGCTCATGCTTAGCTTGAATGGCTTTGACGAAGACACCAAATTCTTTTAAAATCTCTGCATAACAGCTTACAAAGCCACAAGTGTTACTATACTACATGTTAAAGTTACATTTACTGAAGAGAGTTAATTCCATCCAGAAAGAAACTGAGATATGTAACAGTTTAGTATTAATGCAGATTAAAATATCAAGAGTAACAAGATTCACATCCTGCCACTAAAACTCATTAAATTATGTTAAACCTAAATCTCACTTTTGACACGTGAATTACACCATATACTGTTAAAAAGCCAAAACCAAAAAGGCACCCAAGTTTTGTACAAGTCTCCAGCATAAAATAGCTTAATAGAAGCAAATGGCAGAAGTGAGTCCTCACCACATTCTTACCACATTTTCTGTTATTGATCTCATTATACACATAGAAAAGCAATCATTTTTACAAGAATGCCACAGGTTCAACTCATGGTATTCGTTTTAAACACGCAAAAGAACCTGAAGAGCATCACGTTAAGCTCAAAACAGAGTTGAACTCTTTCATGAGGAAACACCCTCTGGGAATCACATATGAATAGGGGATGGCAGACACTGAGTATACACTGAAGATATCTTTGTCAGCATTACAGAAAGAAATTCAACATCAAGACAAAAAAAGAAGGCTCGCTACTTTCTGCCATGTTTCACATATTGTAGTTCACCAGCCTCCATCTTATGACTTGAAATTTCAGGTCTTCCCATCCTTCTCCTTTTGAGATCTGAATAAAAACGCAGCTATAAATTCTACGCACAAGCATACATTTTCTGGTTTTGAGTTTTTCTTCCTTTGTTCTCTTATTTACATCACTTACATTTTGTGCCTTTTTACAGTGAGCAACTTAGAATGAGAACCCTGTTCTCCCGTATTCAAACTAGGACCATTTCCTTCTGACAACTATTCTAGTGACTAAGGCATCAACAGTATTGTGAAGTTTTTCAGCTGCAGAGCTCAAATTCTGTAAAAACAACAACAAATGCCATCCAAAAAAAACCCCTGTAATAGCCATCCCCATTTGACAGAGGATGGAGAGTTAATACAGCAAGCTCAGTCAACTGGCAATGAGCAGTTAGAAAATGTACCCAGCTCCCTTAAGTCTATTTCAAAACAATGAATGCTTTTACAAAAGAAAAAGCCAACCATGATATATAATCTCCACTACCCATCAAAACAAAACATGACTGACTTCACTGACACTCTGAAAATGTTTCACAACTGCAATAGAAGTTACTCATGTCGTGTACCTTTTATTTTCCTGCTGCTTGGAAAAACAGTACATTTAAGAAGGTCCACCCAGAGAGTGAGAAATAAAATATTTAATTAGTTATTATGACTGTCATCTTCATAATTTTACTAGAAACTACCTGTAATATATACAAAAGAATGAGTGATTAAAATCAAAAGGTTAGAAAACTTGTGTAGTTTTGCAGACAATCACAGAAGCATCTAGGTGACTTTCAGGTCTAATTCACTTAAAGTCTGCTAAAATCACCTGGATAACTGCAGGAAGTTTAGTAAGCCCAGTTAAACATATCCAGAGTAATGCAAGCGTCCTCTGAGTGTGATTTCACTATGCCAAGCAAAATAAATCTGTTAATTTGATGCATACTGTAAGTATTATATACAAAGAAATATGTAAGTAAGCCTGAGGCTAGAAAGCAACTTCTTGGGATTCAGGAAAATGTCAGAATTAGAGTTATATAAGTATTGCTGCATTTGGTACTTTTTATAACTCATGAATCTCTACTCTCTCCTCTCCTAAATCCCTGCCTTACAACACCTAGTATTATGGGTCTCATTTAATAAGCATCTTTATTTTGCTTTTGTCTTACTACTCATAATGCAGCCCCATGACTACGTTCTAGTCATTATGTGCTGACAAAAGAATTACTAACTGCCTCAAGGGTGTTGCTACAGCACCCATCTCTGTAGTGTCAAACTTCCTCACAAATGCTCATCAACTTTCCCTATTGAACCATGAAATGAGAGATTTTAACATTTAAACCACGGGAAATTAAAAGAAAAAAAAAAAAAAAAAACAAACCTTTAGCTACAGGTTTGAAACTTTGGATTCTTATGATATTTTTTACTTTCCAGAACTTTTGCTGTAGCTGCAAGTGATACATTTTGCAAGTCATACTTCAGATGTGAACTCAAGTGCTCCGAAATTTGTGGGAAGTGGGTTTGTAAGTACTTTACAATTAGATACGCAAAGTATCCTTCAAGTACTCTGATTTCAGAAAAGGGGAAAATACAGCACAGCATTCAGTAGCTTTAACTATAATATTCATCCTCTTCCTGGGCTCACATCATTCACTGAGTGCCTTCTACCTTTTGCAACATACCAAGAACAGAGGTCCCTCTTTTCTACATTAACTCAGACTTACTTCAATTTGGCCCAGCCTGTACAAAAACCCCATGAAATCTATGTTATTCTGATGTTTTCTTCAGAACAAAGATGGGAAATAACAAAAAAAAAAAAAAAAAAAAAAAAAAAAAAAAAAAAAAAAAAAAAAAAAAAAAAAAAAAAAAAAAAAAAAAAAAAAAAAAAAAAAAAAAAAAAAAAAAAAAAAAAAAAAAAAAAAAAAAAAAAAAAAAAACACTAAGTGGGAAGAACAATGATCACAACACACTCAATCAGTTTTTATGGAAGCAATGATTCTCTGCGTACTCTGAGTACTATTACATTTTAAAAAAAAGAAAGGTTTTCTCACCAAAAAACAGCAATTTGACAGGAGTAGGAGTACGCACTGATTATTTTGGTAATAGTCAGAAGATAAGATATATCTGTATCTTTCCCAGAGCATTTCACCAATTTATGATGAACTCAAAGGCTGACAGGATATTAGAACTCAAATACCATAGCACTAGAAGTGCAGCTACAGATTCTTTTCCTTTTATTCAAAAAATCCACAGATTTAGCACCATAGGGTTTGGGTTTTTTAAGCAAAGAACATAATCTTTCCTTGTTGAAGGTAACCAATAGAATCTTATTTTCATAATCTGATATTACAAGCAAATATTAGCATGAAGGAATCATGCAAATCATGTTAAGTCTCTCTAACAAACTTGGTGGGAGGTTGAGCAAGGTGGCCAGCAGGAACATATGAAAGAGGGAAGGACAGATTTTGGGTCTCAAGTTGTACTAATTTGACTTTTCCTAATACTTTTTGCATTTGTCATTTTGTCATGCATTCTTCCATTCATTTTTGCAGTACTTCTAAGACAATATAATTGTTACTACAATTCAGACCGCAATATAGACTGAACCCTGAGCGGGCCTTTGGACACTATTGCACTCTAAGACCTTTAGTTGTTAGAAGGATTAATAAACATTCTCATCAAGTGGCTTTGCAATACAGAAGAGCAATGTTGGCATCGTACCTAGAAGAGAGGTCTCCTTTGCAAATGCTGCAGCAATAGCTGGGTCCAGCGTTGGCTGTCCATCACCAGATGGAAGGTCAGGACGAGTGTAGTCCCTGCTCTTATCGTTGTTGTACTTGACATTCAAATTCACCAATTTGGAAAAATCAATCCGTAGGGTACAGCAAGCATTATAAATATTTTGACCATCTAAGGCCTGTAAAAAGGGATCACAATTTATTTAAAAGACACACAATACAGGTTGGTTGCAAAACTTTCTTTTTTTTCTTTTCTAAACAGGGTCAGCATACAGATATTTCTCTGTCTTGCTGTCTAGTCTAAGACTGATTAAGAGTAAAACACATGAACCTCTCAAAATGATTCCAGGAAGCTCGATGTTTACCTCTTTTACCTAGAAACTGATTATGCACTGAAAAAAGAAACATTTAAATGCTGTCAAACTTAAATTTTTTCTGTTGAATACAGCTAATTAACCTGCATTCCACAGTACAGCTTAAATTCAGACAAAATGCCAAACAGATTTCTCAAAGAGGAAGTGGGGGGGGGGGGTAAAAAAAATATCAAGAATCTCACAAGTACTCATTAACATGGAAAGTTGACCTGAGAAAAAAAAAAATCAAAATCTAGACTTAACTACCATGTGAGACAGTTATCTGTTAAAGTAGAATATACACTCTTCCTGCATGTTTTCCTTCTCCTCCTAAAGGTAATTAGTACTGAAATGGAAAGAAAAGCAACTTTAACTGCTAATCTGATGTTACTAACACTTCTTTTAAAAGATCCCATTTTCACAATTAATTGGTACTTCTGAAAGAATGCCTATTAACAGTGAAATTCACATGAACTCTGAACATAACACCACTTAGAACTCTATGAAAACAGTCTCTAAAAAGGCCAATATATATATGTGTATATATATATATCTGTGTTTTCTTCATCTTCATTATATACTACACAAATTGATATACCTGGATTTTAGTCCATTTACATTTTGGGCATACCTTCCTTTTAGTTGAAGCACTAACATTAAATATTGAGAGATTTTAAAAAATGGAAACTTCTGTAACAAAGTCAGTTTAATTATTAAAAAATGCTAGAACATGAAGATACAGCTCACCTTAAAAACTAGCATTGAATCAAGCCATTATGTTAGCTAGAAGACAACCTTATATATATATACAGACATGGTAAAAAAAACCAAATAAACCACATTTTCAAATACAAAAATCAGATCTTTTATTTCTCTACATTTAGGCTGGACTGAAATATATCCCTTCTGGACCCAAGCTAACTGTTGCACAGTTAGCTTGGTTACACCTGCAATGTACTTTCCAATACATTCAAGTTCTGGTAAGACTTACTATTCTGAGCTAAGCACTGCACAAATCTAGTGTGCCTGCTGGCTATGGAAGCAACATAGCTGTTTTCACACAGCGATGCATCTGGAAACTGAACATCCAGAAGACAACCCTCTGCTAGGTCTGGGCCAGCAAGGCTGTCCCACAAAATGTGTTATCACGGCTGACATCTCCAGGGCTCATAAAATCACTTTAAACAATTACCTCCATTAGCAGTCAATGGAAAACCAATATGTAAGTCCACATAAAAAGAACTTCCAATTTATGGAAAAATAAAATCATATAGGAAAAAGTACAGAAACTGGACAATGTAGACATCATTTCAACAAATACTTAGCAATTAAAGAGAAACTCCTATGCTTGAAACTCAGCTTAAAAAATGCTTTATACAGTATTGGAAAAGGAAAATCTACTGTCCCTATTATAGAATACAAGGTGAGGATTAATTCCATATTGCTGGGGTGGTGGTGGGCAACACTGTTACAGCATAGAGAATTTGCTCGCTTTTATATATGGTGACAAAGCAGAATCCAAGCCTCCAAATACTGGTATTTGAGAAAAGAATCTCACTTTAACACTTACACCTAAAGAAGTATATACTGAGAATCAGTCATCACTATTAGAAGACTTATTACATTCTAAAATCCACTAAGATATGGATTAGAGGTAGGTCCAGTTTACACAGTCAGAGTTTACCTACTGTCAAAGACAGTGCCATTGCCATCAAGGACATACCCATTTCACATAATGAAGAAAACATACATATGAGACCGAAAGGGAGTACACTTTAGCTTTGTTCAAATCACAGGACTGTGACAGAAAGCTGCAAGCCTTTAAAACACAATCTAGATTCATACTATACCTCTGAGTGGAGTATGCTGACTTACGGCTGGCAGAAGGCTATTAGGCTGATGAAAATATTTTAGCATTAAAAAGTAGCAAACCAAGATATCCCTGTGTTAGCAGTTTCCAGACTAGCCAGTGTTTAAAAGGAGCTCTGTAGGTAACGAAAACTTCTCCTGTAACAGCAAAAACTTGTCTTTCTGATAATTACGGAGTGACCTAAGTACATAAAAAGGCAGTGCAGAAGAGAAATGCCTTGTAGTAGGGACACATATAGTCTGAAAGAACATCCTGAACCAGAAAGGAAGGAGATGCACTCTTAATGAGCACTGTACTCCCACTCCAGGAAAGGCTCCAACCACCAGATCAAAACGAAGGAAACCTCACCCCACACACCTCCACCAGCAGCATCACAAACCGCTAACAACATGGCTGCCAATCAAGATTGACTGTTTACACGTAAATTCACAACTGAGCTCCTTCTTGAATAAGTCCTGAGCTCCTTCTTGAGTAACAACAAAACAACGTGCAACAAGCCCTCAAACCCTCTTCCTCTCAGTCATCCTGAAAAACATGAGAAGGCCACCCATACTGTTAGTGAATGTACATACAGACATCACCCTGAAGATCTCTAGTTACACTAAGTATTTATATATACATTGACATGGGACACCATGCCACATCACACACATGCCAAGCCAAGAAGATCAAGTATCATGAGACCCTTCTACAAATCTGAGTATCATTCTTAATCTTGCCTGTGCCAGCAAACCTCAAACCAAAACCTTAACAACAGAAGTATCAAAACTTCTGTAACCATGCAATACTAAGAGTGTTATGATACCAAATAATTTCCAGGTCCCTACCTTTCCTTCCTTTCTGTTGTTAATAAAAAGTACCCTTCTCTTGGACTTTCACAAAGGGGAAATGATTTTGATGAGATGGTTATCAAGAATCAGTCAAGAATCGCCAACAGCAGAGGATGGACAGATTCATGGAAAAATATGCTGTAGTATTGAGGAGCACAGAAACCAGAAGGCTAGTAAGAATATGCAGAAAAACAGTAGAAAACAGCAATTTAAGAACAAACAAAATTCCCTTTCCCAACCTCAACTCCACACAAGTTTCTCTATGGTCACTTAGATTGTTTTTTGGGGAGTGGAAAAAAACATCAATACAAAAACCTAACCCAAACCAAAAAAATCCCCAAAACAAAAGCCAACGAAAAACCCACACCAAAGACAACTCCTAATAACTAAATATGCTCCATGGCTCTACATCAGCCATAGCAGTTAGAAAAGTAAGCTAATCAGAGATAATGAAACTCACATTCCCCAATACTAGTAAAAGTTCCAAAATAGTGGAATATTCCTAGTATTCCTACAGAAATTTTACTACAGTAGAAACATTTAAAATTTTCAGAAAGGATCTCAAGAACTGGGGTTATACTTACAAAGAATCTATGATCTGCTTGTGTCTCAAGGCAGCACTTTTTACTGAAGGCAAGAATAAGCAAACAAGGCCTAACATAGAAAATAGCAGAAATAGCCTGTGGAAATCTTAAGGATCCACAACAGACTGCTATGACTGTCTGTCACAGACAGTAAAAAAGATTGTACAGGAAATGTCAATGAAATGGAGGTCTGCACCATAAAACACAATACTATCCCAATTTTTTGAAAATAATGTCAAATCATTCTCTCTTGTTGCTCATAGCAATCAGAGGGATGGAGAGATGAAAACTGCTGAGAAAAAAACCTCAGCCTAAGAGCTGAGATGAGACTGTTCCAACGGGAAAAAAAAAAATTAAAGGAGTTCAATAACCAGTATTACAGCATTTTCTGATGCTGATGACTCAATCAACCACAAGAAAGCTTTTCTGCAAAAGGACAGTAATGAATTTTATCTAGCCAACCTGGACACATGACTCTTAGATCTCTCATTTAACATGACTGTGGATGTTGAAAAAAGTGGTAACGTCAGCAAAGGTGATCTCAGATGGCAAAAGCACTCTACAAAATTACAAAGTGGTGTAACACCCTGAATGAGTGATGCAGCTTCATGCAGGTAGGACTCAGATCTATCAGTGGGTTTCAGTGTTGAAGAACGTTCCTAGAATCACTTCTTTGCTCAGGCTTTCCTCACCAGAAAGAGTTTCTGATGCAATCAATAGAATTCACTGCTCCTCTTCACATGCTCAGGATTGAAGATGCCTGAAAATCCTTCTGAAAGAAGAGTCCCCTGAAAAGTGGCTCTTGGTTCATAGGAATTATGCTTTGGTGAGCTTCTCCTAAGGCCTTATAGACCATCAATCTGTGGAATAAAACTCCCTCACAGGAAATGGTCAAAGCAGCCCTCTAAAAATCAGGATGACGTACTCTTTAGCTAATTCACACATGGTACCTATAAGGCTGACAAGAACATAATTTGGGAAACAGAAAATGATTTGACATATTGATATTCTCATTTCCCAGTTCAGAAACTGAGTCCAGAGACTTGGCAGGTATTTCTGGAAACACAAGACTTCAAGCCGCAACAAATTATATCTGCCCCTCATTTTGTCAAGCACTGTAGGTATCAGAGGTGATCATTCAAGACCAGAAATAGATTTCTTTCAGGATGAGCTTGAAAAGCATTTACCAAGGTCCAATAAAGAAAAATCTAATTAGACTGAGAAAAAACGTGGCAGAGAAGAACAACACAACAAAATCATTGCCTTCTCTCCATAATCATGAGAAAAAGAGAAAAATTAGTCCCTACTCTCTCTCTTCTCAAAGCAGAAAATATGAAAAACAAGATCTTCAGGAAGTAACAGCTTAACGCATTAAAAAAATAGGAAGCAATACTTCTAAAATATACTCCAGTTCAAATAAGTACCTCCAAGTAACTGAAGGTCATGTGGTAAATATTTTTTGGGAGAAGTGTGTCCCAAGTGCATCCTAGAGATACATATCTGAATGAAATTAATTTCTTTTGAGACAAGTGTCTTGAATACAAGAAGTTTCTGTGGCTAAATAGTGTATGTAAATGCATTCTATTGTCAAAAATGAAGATATCTTTATGTGCAGTTTCTTGACTGAAGGACCTCTTGCTGCACTTCCTGGGCTTTCTGATACAGCACTCCAGCACTCTTCTGTTTACCTGAACACTACTTATCATTTTTGAGCACAAACTGTGCTCCTCAGGATTAAAGATGTCCAAAAATGCTTAATATAATAATAGTGGATAATAGCCCTGGAGTAGCTGATCTAGAGATATCCATTCTTCCATTCTGCAATGACTACCTGAAGTTCCTATTATAGATTTTAGGGCAACGTAGCCTATCAGAGCTCTTTTGCAGACTGTTACCAGTGTAGAGCTACCCTGAAACTGTAAATCAAAATAACTGGGAAGATGACATCTTGAACATACAGTCAAATCTCACTGGAACCTCTGCACAGGTACTCAATCACCTACAGGCCAAGTAAGGTTCAACTGGCCAACTGTAACAGAAACTCTCTATTAGACTAGCAATATTTTTAACCTGCGTTGGGTCAAGATGACTGTCATGCACTATGTACGAGTCGCAGTTAATCATCTACAGTCGAGGCATAATAACTGTTAATATCCATGATTTGGCAAGAATACTCTCGGTACATTTACACAACGGCATCACTCTGAATTAGTCAGCTTTTCAGACAAATGCCAGCACTCTTATCTTTCCATGGTATATCAGACTACTGGTATTCAAATATTTAAGTTTGATGCTTATCCTGGGACTACTCAGCATTTACAATTAAAATGAGCTATTTTTAATGCTACAATATCTCCTTACACATACAGACATCTCTAGGACAAAACCTTCTCTAGGAGGAACAGCAGCTCAGTGTGCTCTACTGTTGCACAGTATGAGTTACCCCTGGCTACACTGCTGCATTATACTTGAAGTTCATAGTCTTCACCCTTACTTGCCAGTATAACGAACCTATAATGATCCAGTCTGAGGGTGATGATGAAACATGTATCAGTGTGGTCACTATCTAGTCTTACAGGAAATGAGTTTCTCACAAAACAAGTGGAGCAGGAATGCAATTTTTCACTAGTTGCTCATTCAAATAGCAAAAGACATCCCACAGGGCTGGAAGTTTTGTATTGTACATTCTTGTCAGTGTCACTATCTTCTCAGAACCTTCAAATGCATAGCATCTCTCCTTGGTACTTACATCACTTGAGTTTTTCAAATTGCTCTTTAACTTCCTTAATAAGTCTTCAATTTCTATTAAGGCCACATTCTGATTTCCTGTGAAGAGTGCCAGTGGAAAATTAAATTTCCCCATTATCTTCTACAGTCAAAATGGATGGAAAACAAATTGAAAACTTTTTAACTCTTAGACCATGCTTTTAATTTTGAACTCCATGCAACTTAGGTGTAGCTGCCATATTCCCTCACTTTTAACTATATTTCCAGATGTATTTAAACTGAAGTCCTATCCTCCGACTGCTTCTTTGCTCCAGGTATTTTTGTTCCGGTGGCACTTCACATTTTATCACAGTAGCTCAACCATCAGAACTGTATTTATTTTACTCTAGGGTGAGGGTAGTGGGGAAATAAAACCTTCCTTCAAATTTAGCATCCTTCAATAATTGCAACTGGTATCACTCTTAGCATTTTGTCTATTTATGTATAGATTGGTTAAAATATGAAACTATAAACCTAAGACCATTTCAATTTGTCACTAAGGCTCGAAGATCACTCTGACAACAACTGTACATGCAGTAGTCAATTATTCAATGAAGTTTAGTCATTCACACATGAGCTATCACTAGTGAACAGGTACCCTAATCAAAACATGCAAAACTGGAGAAACAAATACATGCTTTTTCTTTTAAAATCATGACCAGTACAGTATCCCACAAGCTAGTATCAGTTTATCAGAAGTAAACAACGGCAAGAGATTCTTAGGCTCCTTTCATACTTTTACACACCTCATCCTTTAGTTATTTGTCACTTCTTTATAATATAGTCCTAAAATTACACTGATAATTTTCAAATCCCTATGTGATTTGAAGTCCATTCCACAGATGTCATGTTTCCATTAAGTCTTCTGATAACATATTTAAGACTCAAAAAAATGAAGTCAAAAGATTTATCATCTTGCATCAAAAATGCATTCTAAAAGCAGCAATAACATCTACTGCTGAAAACTAGCTTTCCAAATGTGAGCCAAAACTGAATTACAACCTTCTGCAACAAACATATTTAGCAGTCAACTGCTTCTTGAATATTTCAAATATGAATTCAAATGTCTAGAATTGAATTCTGCAGCATTTATAGGTCAACATCCAGCTTTTGTGCTACTATTCTAAACCTACTTAAAACCTGCAAGGTGTATCCCACCCATACAAATTCTTACGTAGCACAGTGACATATTTGCATCTCCCCCTACTCTGAGGCATAATCTAATATCTGATAATACTTCAATTCTGAAAAGGACATC